CGACTATTTGGGCCAGGACGTCAATGGAGTGGCCTTCGAGGCGATGTATGAGGCCCACCGTCAGAATGGAGGAGCTGGACCATATCCAGGGGGCTCCCTAGCCATGCCGGGGGAAGATTGGGTTCCGATTGCTATCTTATGCATGATTTTTGTATTTCCTCACCTATACCTTGTCCCTTGTTATGTTCTTATAACCATGTAAATAAAGTGTATATAGGACAAAGTCTCCTGTGATACACCGTAACACCGCTACACCTTCAGGTAAAGGCCCGTATACACCTTTTATCTGATATGGAGGTCCCGGGGAGATAAGATGTAGAGGTGAGGTGAGTCGGCCTCACGCCGACGGCCTAGCTGTCGCTGGAAGCTGGGGGCAGCTTAAATACCTCCAGCTTAGGTTGCGAAATCCATGATGACGACTCTTAGCTGATTGATGGCCTCCGGCACCATCCGGCACGATGACGAGGCCTCCGGCTCGATAACGGGGACACGACACCCTGCACGCAATGCACGCGCTGCCACCGCGAGCGACGAGTATTAAGGCATTGTTCACAGTTTTCCTAATCAACAGAATATTCGAATTCGCGAAAAGAATTACATACGTATCGACCACAAAATTTGCGCACGCGCGAACGCGGATGCGAAAGGTTTGCGTATCGACGTAGTCAACCCCGCCTCTCAGCGTTTCGCGTCGAGGCATCGAAAGCGCGAAACCATGAACCGGTAGACACACTCCCTTTCAAAAAACGAGAAGAGCGTCGGGTGCAGACCATACACCACAAGTGACGACGGCCTCCAAGTAAATCTGGTTAGTAGTGGTTCATAGTGATAGCTGATTTGGTAATTAGTGACAACTGATAGAATACAACTGCAACAGGCTAATCATTTCATTGGCAGAAAACATTTACATTTTGTGGAGGCCGTCGTCACTTGTGGTGTATGGTCTGCACCCGACGCTCTTCTCGTTTTTTTGAAAGGATTCGCAGGTTCGAATGTGCGATTCCATGCTGCTCCCTGCTTGCAAATCGGCCCTCCCGTTGCGGATCGAAACGCATTTGACCTCCCAATTTTGATCCACAATGATAAAGAGCCATCGAAGGATTCAATCAGCTGTGAAGTGACGTATGAATATTTTTCGAATTTTTACTGTTAATTTAGGATCAATTGCAAAATTGGTTCTGCAACTGTGTAAACCAAATTTGTTGATTACAAAACACTGACGTCGAGTTACCGTAAAATGGCTGCAGATATTCACGCAGTTCAAATTTGTCACGTTAGTGGTATGGTCGTGGCGAAAGATTTGAACGGTAAATATTCTGAGTAAAAAAGCTGAGGCCAACTGAGCCCCTGTTTTTCTCAACAACGCAGCACTGGTTGTGAGTTTTGCTCATTTTCAAATAATTTTATGCCCTTCCGTGACCTTTGTTATACATTACGGATGTTAGACATATTCGGTTTATAATGGGGATAATTATTTGTGGTTGTAAGGCGGCAGGTCGGAGTACGAGGGACAAGTGTTGTCGCCTATGGCTGCTTCAATATCAATCTGCTAAAGAGTGGATTGTGAAGTTTAAGGTGCAATGTGGAATGGGCATGCCGTAGTTTTTTTATACGGTAGGCGCGAAATGTATGTGAGGGAGTCCGCTGGCTACTATGGTGCCACGACAATTGAGGACAATTCATGAGCCGGGTAGAGTTGAAGACGAATTCTGGGAGTGAGGGTGGGGAAGTGAGCGCAGTCTTGACATGCGTGAAGCTGGAATGTGTGAGTAGCTTCATAGCGCCTCGTCACGTCATAGTAGCAGGCAGCAGTCTCCACTTACCCACCCTTTCAAAAAACGAGAAGAACCTCCGGTGCAGACCATACACCCCAAGTGACGACCTTCCACTAAATCTGGTTAGCAGTGTTATCATGTGATAGCGATTTTATGGTAACCTGATAGTGTGGTAAGCTGAACTGAAAAAATTTACGGACTTGCCCACAGGTAATTATCTCATTGAGCACGAATAATTTACAACCCCCCCCCCCCTTTGTGGTGGAAGCCGTCGTCACTTGTAGTGCACGGCTGCCACCCTATGTCTTCTAGTTTTTTTCGAAGGAAGTATACAGACATTTCGCGCCTACCGTTTTCAAAAAATTTAGCGTGCCCATTCCACTTGTATTGCACCGAAGTTACTAACTGCTAGCAGCTCTTCCTTTCAGATTTTCGTTTGTTGTGCGGTTTAGAGCTGGACCATTCCAGTTTCTCATAACCTAACCTTAAGACAAGCTTAGAAAGGAGGAATTCTCTGGAAATGAGGATTGGTTATGCCCGCAGCCTTTCTACCTTTCTCCTTCACCTAAGGCTTAGCCCTAAAGAGCTTTAACAAAAAAACCGCCTGTCGAAGTTTCAAACGCGTTGCACCGCAATGCCCCCTCATTTGGAAGAGCGTCAATTGTAGTGCTTGAAATAATGGTTTAAGAATGCTTCAAATTCCCCCTCGAGAATGGAATTTCTTATCTGTTCTATGTTCCGTGCACCAAATAAATAGCTGTGGACGCTCGCCTGCTGAATTTTTAACGGCTGTCGTGCTATGAGTCACTTTCTGCTCACGTGTTCCGCTCACAATTGGGCTGATACATGCTCGAAATGGGGCCCCTTGAGCCCACAACTTTTTTCCACAACGTAGGGTTGTTCTTCTTGTGACGAACGCTACGTACTGACCTCGAACGCCTGCATGCCGATCGTCTCGTAATCGATCAGTTTTGCTCGGCGGGTGTCTCCATTTCGGCCACACCTGTAAAGATCTTCGCGTTTTGGTCATTACTGCAGTAAATTGCCATGTTCTTGTTCATGTTTTCAGAAAACGTCATGCAAAACATTTTGCTTGGTCTCATGATTACTCATTGTTTTTTCTTGCGTTCATAGGAATTTGCAGAATATTTCGCAATTTTTGAACGATGTGTGCCACTTTTGTACTGTTATTAAATATGTCAAATTAGTTACTCAGTATTCAGTTTAGTTGTGATTTCGGTTTAGTTTCGTGCTAAACTTTGTGAAAATGCCAATGTTTATCGATATTCGAGGTATATTTTTAGCATGGTCATGGAAGAAGATACTGACATCAAACTAAAAACGCGGTTTTTGGGCCAAGTATGTTATCTTTTGCTTATTTTTTGTTTATGTTCTGCTTAATACAGAACTGGAAGAAATTTTCCTGATTCATTCGGTACCTTCTAAAGTGTGCGTTACAGGTTCTGGTCTTATACGCTCGTCCACCTCTTCAGATAGAAAACTTTTTCTCACTTCTAAAAGAGGCTTGTCAGCAACCAAGCTCTCATCCAATAACTGTTAAATGGATTGACGAAGACGGTATTTTTTGTAGCTTATGTTTTTTTGCACTTCTCAGATAATTTTCCATCTCAAACTAAGAGGGCGTATATTTTGCTCCAGGTGATCCTGTTTCGATTGACAGCCAACGAGAACTGGACGAAGCGGTTCGCATATTGCAACAGAGTGGTGATGCAGAACTAAATATTCATGTGTTTCTTGGTCAGCCCGCTTTACCCGGTCTCCCATGTGAAGGAGAGGATCGTAAGTATGAAGTCTTTCAAAAAAGGGATTGAGCGCGCCCGTTTGAAGAGATATCGTTGTTTTTTTGTGGCAGCGGTGACTAACGATAAAGTAAAAGCACTCGATTTTGAGCCACATTCGTCAATTTTGGG